GTGTTTTCATTAGGAAGTGTCATTTTAAGTTCTTCTTTTAAAGAAAATGACATGTTATCCACTTTCATCTGTTTCACTGCTTGGCAAACTAGTAGTGATATAAAAATTAAATTTTCTAGATTGCTGTTTCTTTGAGAAATTTATCCTCAGATTATTAATGAGATAAAAACCTACACTTAAGCCGGGCAGTGGTGGCACACGCCTTTAATCCCAGCACTCGGGAGGCAGAGGCAGGTGGATCTTTGTGAGTTCGAGGCCAGCCTGGTCTACAGAGAGAGATCCAGGAAAGGCACAAAGCTACACAGAGAAACCCTGTCTCGAAAAACCAAAAAAAAAAAAAAAAAAAGAACCTACACTTAATATGTAGCTAAGCATGGATTATCTGCCAAGTACTGTTCTGAACGCTTTCTATGCACTAACTGATACGTTTTCTTGATCACTGGATTTCTGGAAAGACAAAACAATACAATTATTTGGGTATAACCTATTGAACACCCTCTTTATATCGTCACAGAACTAAGTTGGAAATACTAATGTTTTAGAGTGGAGCAAAAAAATATACTTAAGAATTTGGAAATTCATGAAAGTGTTATTATTAAGAATGTATATGTAATTCTACTTTATAAGATATCTATCAAAGCCAGATAAGATGCTTTAAGAAATGATGATGGTGATGATGATGATGATGATGATGATGATGATGATGATAGGCCAGAAACAAATGGAAACCAAGTTTGGCCTCTTGGTAGACCAGAGCAGGTATGGGAGGGCCAAGTAGCAGTGTGCAGGGACTCCCGGAGGACTCACTGAGGTGTGAACGTGGAGCTGGGCAGAGGCAGTGCTGAGTTAGCCCGTGAGTAATGGGAGGAGAATAATAATGTCTCAAAGCAATCTTTCATCATACAACAAACTGTCCTTTCTGTCTCTTTCCTTTTCCAAGGACCTTCTAAGATGGTGGTGTTCAAAAGGCTGGCACTTGGTTCTAGGTTGGGTACCAAGGATAACAGGTGGAGGGATGTCTATACCCATCAGGCACTCATGCTATTGGTGAAAAGTCTCAATGTGCTGGTATACAACACAGGGTTATTTATTTATTTATTCATTTATTTTTCTAATCAATAAATTATGTCAAGTTGCTGCCCATGTTCCCATCATTATACATCATTTGCTAATTCTAAAGTCACTTTGCTAGCTTATTCCAGCTCAGTTTAAAACTCGTATATATACATGGATACAAATAAATCTTTATTTGGCCTTTTATGTATTGCCTCAACATCTGGCTCCTCCTTTCTGCCATGACAAATTAGAACTGTAGTTCCAATAGCATCAAGCGCCCAGCAAGACAATAGAAATGTTGGTTGCCATCTGTGTTTCAGACATCCTTTTTTCTCCCATATTTTTTCTTAACATCTCTGGCTTTTGTGTTGGGAGAGGAAGGCAGAAGTAGGAAAGTGCCAGGGACCAGCCTCAGCAGTTTCAAGGGTCTTGAAGGGCAGGGATGTCTGGCAGGTGCAAGAAAAGGCTGGGACATAGGAGTTGGTGCAAGCTGACGAGTCTTGTCAGATCTGGAGATGTGTGTTTTCTCCACCTTCTCTCAATCTGACTCAACCCCAGTGTTTTATTGTAATAATACAAGGAAATAGTGAACGAGAAAATTCAACAGGTGATTGGTTTCTTCACAATAGTTTCAAAAGTTCTTTTTGTAAATCAGCAAAGTGTACCCCGTATCCCTTGATTGCACATAGAAGTTCCCAGGCAGAAAGCAAAGCATACCAGCTTATTCTTTCACAGGTTAATGATTACCAGAACATCTGAGGTAATCACCCCAGAGGCCATCTACTTGCTGTTTCTCAGAAAGCACAGAAATACAAGCAATGGTTTAAAGTACTAGACTGCGAGCTTCCTCTCAGCCTAAGTCCTTCTTAATCTCTCTGTAATTCGTCAAGTTGTCTTCTGACTAGTTCTGGACAACTCTTGTCTTCTATCCTATCTATATGTCACTCCATCCACAGTTTTCTGCCACCAGCCTTCTGGGTTTTTTCCATGACCTGCATAACAGCTTTAACTCCTGCCATTGTCACAATCTCAATATCATTTCTAATTTCATGGAAACCACTGTAGGAGAGAGAAATAAAATCATAAAGAACAAATAGAGTAGGAGGATTACAAGAACCAGTAACAGTTGGATGGGTGAAAACATGACATGCATACGCCATAAAGTCTACCCTCGGGACACAAGGGTTGTTTTCTCCCTGGCCCACAGAAGGCAGGCTTAGTAGAATATCCGGTGGGGCAGGCCCGGAGGGATTGATGTCCTCCTTCTCGAGTACCTCCAGCACAGATTCCACTGGCAGCACATCAGGGTTTTCATATGCCGTCTCCAGCAACAAAGGATGCTGGGATTCTGCCATGGATGAAGGAGGTACCTTAGATTATTTTGTTTGCTTTGGTCTGAAGTTGGTGACTTGTATTTTAGATGGTAACAGGTGACCTTGGACAAGCATATGATTTAGTTAGAAATTAATACTGCCAGGCTCTTGTATACACTGGGGAGGGGGACCTTTCTTTTACCCATTCAAGTCTAACTGGACAGCTGATACAATTTCTAGAAGCTGGTTCTGTCTCTTTCTGCTTCAGCTTGAAGTATTATGGAGGGAGTTGGCCTTAGCCAATCTCTGAGAGGGATTAGTGCGGCTCCCTAATTATTATTATTTGTTTGTTTGTTTTTGATTTTTTGAGACAGAGTTTCTCTGTATAGTTTTGGTGCCTGTCCTGGATCTTGCTCTGTAGACCAGGCTGGCCTTGAACTCACAGAGACCTGCCTGGCTCTGCTTCCTGAGTGCTGGGATTAAAGGCGCATGCCACTGCCTATATGGCTTTTTGTTGTTGTTGTTGTTTTTGTCCCTAATTATTTTTGAGGGCAGTTTATCTACACTGTTGGGTCATTTGATGCTGGGCCCTTTACTGGCTAGTCCTCTTTCTGTGTATCAGCTCATCACTTCCTGGTCAGTGCTCTATGACAATGACATAGACCTGATATTGTGTTTTGTGGAATGCTTCCTAAACAATCCCTTATGTGTATAGAGACATAATAAGTAATTTTTGAATGAGTAGATTGGTGGCTAGATGGATGAAGAGGTTGTACATTGTAATTCAATGTGGGACTCTGTGTAATATATTACACTGTTGATAACTAAATAAAAGACCTTTGTGCTCATTCCATTTGAGCTACTTGGCTCATAAAAATCCTTAAGACCAAATAAAATGTATTTGTATTCATTTATAAATATTAATATATTTGTGTCTCTATTTATATACATGGATACACACACACACACACACACACACACACACGCGCGCACACACATGCACACACACTTTTAGTCTCTATATTAGCTGATTCTTAAAAGCTAAGATTTTCTTTAGGCTTGCTGCTCAATTCTTGATGATTTTATGAATGTGTATCTTAGCTGCAATTTTATACTTACTTTGTTATTTTTGTATTTATTTAAAGTATTAAAATGTGCTATGTAAACTTCAGAAATGAAGTTCCACGTGATCTTTATAGCATTTAGGTGAGGTTGGCAGTTGCACGTCACCTTTCAGAAATGTCTGTGGATGTGAGAAATGGGCTGTAGAAAATCAGGTGGTGAGACTGAGAACCACAGAGAGCAGTGATAAAAAGGAAGCTGCGGTCAGTGAGGGTGGTGTCATTGAGTTATGTGTGGGGCATACATTTAGACATTTATTAATCAGTGTTAATTCTGTGTCCCTAGGAAAGTTCACAGAGATTTTCAGGAGCTGATTGCAGCAACTCAAGTAAAGTTCATTTTTCTTTTTTAACTTTTAGCTGGCTGTGAGTAAGGTCAACTAAGCTAGTGTATGGCTTGTAAACGACCTTGCAGGCATGAAAAGCATGAGCAGTTTACCTAGCTTGCCACTGTAATTAGTAGTAATTGAAGACTGCACTGAGCTAGTAAATAGATCATCACCAAAAGCATTCTTAAAATCACAAAAGATTCTAAATAATATTGGTGCTTTATGTAGGTTATCAGTGTATAGGTACATGATAAGTGTACCTATGAACCTGGATTAACTTTATTTAAGGCAAGAGTCATATAATGGGACAGTGTGATGTTCATTCTTCTTTATCAACTTGACACACCTGGGAAAATGGAACCTCAAGTTGAGGAATTGCCTCAATCACAATGATTGCTAATTGATGGAGGAGGGTGGAGCTCACTGTAGGCTGGTGGTTCTGGGTTGTGCAGGAAGGCAGGCTGAATGGAAACAGGGAGTGAGCCAGTGTTTCACTTCCAGCTTCCAGGTTCCAGCCTTGGGTTCTTGCTCCGACTTCCCTCAGTTATGGACTATACTCTTTAAGTCAAATAAACCCTTTCCTTCCCAAGTTGCTTTAGGTCATTGTTTTACCTCAGAAGCAGGAAGCAAACTTGGACAGGGAAGTTGAAAATTATTTGTATTTAAACATCATATTACATATGAAATCAAATTAAACATACAGATGGAAAACACTGCTAAGAAATGATTTCCAGGAAAGATTAAAGTTCTTTCATGAATTAGCTTGCTTTTTCTTCATGGGTATTGAGAATCCTGACATTCTGTTTCTTTCTAAATTTTGGCTCTCATAGAGTTCAGAACTTAATATGCAACTCAATTATCTTAACCATGTGGGAATATAAGAACTTGCATATCTCTAAAATTTTCTTGATCTTCAAAATCTATTCTAGTTTTCCTTCTTCCTGGCCTGAGATAGTATAAACTATTTTTTTTACCTTAATTGACTCATGGTAACTGTACATTGTCATGGAACCTGGACTTTTCAAAACATTGCCTGTATTTTCACCTGTTAACTTTCTATGTGTATTTCTCTAAGCCATTACAAATGTTTTATGGAAAATGGATGCGTTAACACCCCATGCTTCATAGAGAAAAGCTGCTCACTTCTTCTTGTGTAACTGCTCCTTTCTCTTTTTGTGAAGGCCAAATGTTTGCAAAGAGGAACAGCTGACGGTGATAGCCCTCTCACGCCCATGCACCCAAGTGTTCGTAGACACCGTCAAATTCTGGAAACAAGGCTGTACAGACCCACGGGTGTGTGTGGCTTATGAAAGAAGGTAAGGTGATGTCCTAACCCTGTAACTATTAGAACTCAAAACTAGAAGCTTCATCTATTCCTAAATACTTTATCCTGTGAACTGTAGCAAATGGTTGGATAATTAAGTAAAGGGGCCAAGGTACACTTACAAAGAACAGTCACAATTACATGATTTCCTTCAGCAGTGGGATGGACACTTACTTTATGTTAGACCTCACTTATGTGTGAACTATTTTTGGTTATAGATACTAATTTTACCTCAGGATATGATATTCCATTGAAAGCTAAAGATCAGAAACACGACAGAAACAAGGGATATTGTGTTGGTTTGCTAAATTTAGCTCGACTTGATCCAGAGTTTCTGCAGCTATGAACCAGCATCTGACCTGGCCTTGTCACTCTGGGACACTTTGAAACACACAGACTCTTTAACTTTATTATGGCCTTTGAATTAGGATCAACCCAGCGGGCTGTGGGGAGAGAGAAAGGCAAGTGTCCACAATGCTTTCCAAGGGTCCAGGCTTCATGTAGACTTCATTTTTTTTCAAAGTTTTAAAGTAGTTTCACAAAACATCTAAGAGCCTCTTGATGCGAATGTTTGCTAATGGGTTGGATTTTATGAAAATGAATCAAATGTGTCTAAATGTATGATAAATCTTAACAATAAAGTGTGTTTTAGGTTAATGAATTCGTTAATACTACTGTCAGCACTGAAAAGTTAGGGTATTTATAAGTAACTAGCCTTGCCATTGTACAACTCTGGTAACAGTTATAATACAAGACTAAATAGTTTATAACTGTAAATATGGGTACCTACTATATGTGTGTACATATGCACATACATGTGTATTTATCCTGTAGATAAGTACTCTTTGGGTGGTGCTAAATTAAATTAAGGATATTTAAATGACAGTTAAGTCAGAAAAATTTCCCTAATTATTATTTACTTTGTGGCCTTAAGTCAAATTCAATATTTCTCTGTACTTTAGTATGTAAAGTTGGAAAAAATGGCATACATGAATAGCATGAGGAGTACTGAAGACATAGTTTACACATGCAGCATAACGCTGATATCCTGAAGGTACTCAATACGTGTGTTAATACAAACCAGTAGCAATGATATGCCAAAACATTAGGCAGGAGACATGCCTCTCTATATATGTATGATTTAGTAATTAGAGGGATGTATGTGTGTGTGTGTGTCTGTGTGTGCACACATGCTTGTAGTATATATGATTTATTGATTAGAGGAGTGAGTGTGTGTGTGTGTGTGTGTGTAGATATGCTTGTAGTATATATGATTTATTGATTAGAGGAGTGAGTGAGTGTGTGTGTGTGTGTGTGTGTGTGTGTGTGTGTGTGTGTAGATATGCTTGTAGTATATATGATTTATTGATTAGAGGAGTGTGTGTGTGTGTGTGTGTGTGTGTGTGTGTGTGTGTGTGTGCATGCCCATGTGACCATCTGCCCATCTGCATGCACATGCTCTGGCACACATGTGGTGGTCAGAGGGTAGCCTCGGGTGTTGGTTCTCACCTTCCATGTTGTTTGAGGCAAGGTCTCTCTTGTTCACTGCTGACTTAGCTTACCAGTGATATTTCAGGAGTTCTCCTGTCTCTGCCTCCTATCTACTCCCTAGGAGAGTTGTGGTTATAGACACTGTACTACTGAGTCCATTCTTTATGTGTATTCTAGAGATTGAACTGGGGTCACTGGCTTAGAGGGGAAACCCTTTACCAATTAAGGAATTTCTCCAGCCCTAGAAATTGTTTTTGAAAATGGTTTTTCATTTAAATTTTCTGTATTACCCCAGTGTGGTTTAATATTTTGTAAATAGTGATCTGAACCAAAGAAAATCCTCAGCTGTGTAGATGCTTAGAATTGGGAAAGACAAACATGAATATGTATCACAGGCCTCACATGTTTATTCTTAAGCACTTGCTAGTTTAACAATTCTGCCTGTGGCACTGATTTGGAGGGTGGCAATGTAAGAAAATAATTGGTGTCTTGCCAAACATACCCCCCTTTTTTGTTTGTATATACATCTAGTCATATCCTAATTGGGAAGATATGCACAGAAATACTAGGCTTTTTTTCAAGATGTTGAATAATTAAATGCCATAAACAATGCTGAAGCCAATAAACTCTGTAGCAATAAAGACAGCTGACATAGAGAGACTTTGGAGGAAGTGGAAATAGAAATCGGCCTTGAATAATGAAGGATTTGGGCTAGGACATGGGCAAGGTACATGAAGGGGAACGAATGAGCTAGAACTTCAGGGATAAAGCATATATGAAACTTTGATTTGATAGAAAGGAAGTCAGCATCCTTTGAGATATTTGGTACCACAGTCAGCTGACAGTTCAACACTGTGGCAGACTGTTCCTTTCACACTGAGAGGCCTTTGGCTCTGTCCCCTACTGCAACTGCTTCATCCTAAAGGAACTTTTGACTTTGCATTTATACTTTAAATAAAGATTTTATTCTTATTTTTAATTGTGTGTGTGTGTGTGTGTGTGTGTGTGTGTGTGTGTGTGTGTCTGTGCATGTGAATGCTGTGTCTTCAGAGGCCAGAGAGAATGTCAGATCCCCTGGAGCTGGAGTTACAGGCAGTTGTAAACTACTGGAAATCTTCTGCAGGAGCTGTCTCTCAGCCCACATATATATTTCTTAAACTTCCTCAACTAATACCTAAACCTTATTTGATTTCATGTGTGATGTAGTAGTTATGTACGATATACAAACTGTATAACCATAGCTATCCATCCCCTCTGTTATTTCCCAGTATATGTGGCAGGATTTGAACTGGAGGGAGACATTTTTTATAATTGTGAAATGATAATTTTGCCATCAGAGGAATGATACATTTTCCTGATTCCTATCCTGTGTTCCACAGGACCCGCTACTACACTGTCTACAAGCAGGTGTATACCACAGAACACCAGACATTCTTCAGGTGCTGCCCTGGTTGGAGCCGATGGGATGATGAACCAGGCTGCCTCTCCTGTAAGTTGTAATTCTTCCCGCCAAGTTCTATTGCTAGGGAATGCTTTTGCTTCCATTTCAGTGTCTTAAGAAGCACCATAGATTCAGAGCATTGCTCAAAACCAGTGGTTCTCAACCTTCCTAATGCTGCGGCCCTTTGATACAGTTCCTCATGTGGTGGTGACCCCAACCATAAAATTATCTTCGTTACTACTTCATAACTGTAATTTTGCTACTGTTATGAACTGTAATATAAGTATCTGTGTTTTCTGGTGGTCTTAGGTGACCCCTGTGAGTGGTTGCGACCCACAGGTCGAGAGCCACTGCTCAAGACTAATGACTCACACATAACGTGGTAAAAGGCATATAAAAAGCCTTTCTGTTAAGCATTTCGATGATGGGTTGCAGCTTAGGACCCATGAGAGCTGCTGTATGCTCTGTCTATGTGGAGGACAGTCGATTTAAAGGCACCAGGCTTTCCTTGACGTCCATCCCACTTCTCCGTTTGCCCCTTTCCTGTATCATCAAATTTGTAATCCACAGCTGATTCAAAAGTCCAGAGGGAAATCACTGTTCTAAATCTAGATGGGATTTCTCAACGTGGGCTTGTCATGATTAATTGCAGAGCTCTGGAGGCACCTTCCTGTTTAAGATGAGGTCTGCGCTCTGTTCACAAACCTCTGGTGATGGGATTCCAGAGCCTTCCGAGTCTGGTGTTTGGCAACACTCCCACCAGGCTGTGAGAAACGACTCCGTTCAGTGAGCCCCTTTCCTGCATTATGTGCCTATGGCGACTGTGAAGTCCCTCAGAGTCTAATCAATGCAGCACCATAGCACAGCACATCTCTCCCGCCTCTGCGTACCTTAGGGAGTTTGCCAGCATCCTGCCTCCTTTCAACTCTTGAAATATGTTGGGGAAGTTTTGCTGTATGCTTCCTACATTAAGCAGGTATAGTGTCAAGTGCTGTGCCAAAAGTGTGTTTACACTCAGGCTACTATGGCTGATTGGTTTAAGATCATTGAAAAGATCTGCCCACAATACCATCAGAACTGTTATAAAGTCCAGGAAATTGACAGCTTTAAGTATTTATATTTATTGTTTAACAACTACCTGAGTTCTTTGCCTCTGGTTATGCATTAGCATTTTGTTTAACTTTGTTGTTGTTGTAAAGACCGCTTTGACCACACAGTCACTTTCTCCATGCATTTTCTTTATGCCAATGCTTCTTCCCTCTCAATGTGAATACAACTAAACTGGTGTCTTGTTAAAGGGTAGATTTGTATTAACTAGGTCTAGAGGGGTTCTCAGAATTTGTGTTTCTGCAAAGTTTACAGGAATGCTCTTACAGATAATTCTGTAAGGCTTCAAATAGTCAGCCATTGTCTTGCAATGGCAATTCTCTATAACCTTCCTGTGGAAGGGCCAGTGGAAATTTCTAGATCATGTTATATTACCTGCAAGATGCCTACTTATACTGATGATTTCCTTTCTTTCTCTCGATTCCACCTATCCTTCCTTTGAACATACCTTTTAGCTGTGTCTTCTCTGGGAACCCATTTCAGTGGAAGGCAGTGCTCAGATGGTGATGATCAACGGTGCCTCTGCTCACACGGGTTTCACGGACCCCACTGTCAATATGGTAAGTTACCAACAGGACCATTCTGTTACAATTTGGCACTGTCTGCCAGTTGTGTCCTGGTAGACTCATGGCGGGCTACCTCTCTGGGAATTGGTAAACACTGAAAATGAGTCACTAAGCAGAAATCCAGAACCATAGTGTAATAAACATCATAAAATATGCTTTGTGGTTTAGTTGTAAGTCTTCACTGTATAAGTTCAAAGGTCATTGCAAGAACAAGATGTTCTACTCTGTAAAGAAAGCATCAGATGTTAAGTCTCTCAAGGAGGATGGTGTGAAACTACCGCTATGGTATGGTATTCTGTGTGATCTCTGGGCTCCATAAATGAGCTGAATACAATCAGCATGAATGTAATGTTAAAGCAGTATTGACTAATGTTATACCCGTTATCTTAAAAAAAAAAAATCGCAAAACCTGGAAGTCAAGACTTGAGTGATTCTCAAAGCTTCAACACTCACTGGACATGTACATATAAGATTTTCTTGTGTGAGGAGTTTTCCGAATGACCAATGATTTATCCTTTACTGCAGAATGAAACTTCACTTAAAGCAGTTGGTATGTGTACCTTCTCATGTCTACTGCTTGGCTTTTTAAAAGTGCATTTCTGAAATTTCTGAGGTCCCGACACTCACATGTTTATTCTCTTCCACACTTGTGATTAAGGACAGTGCTCCCATCTCCCATGGGTCCCTTCAGAGATGTTCTTATAAATGAATTCCCAAACTCTTTTCTAAGTTGCCTTTTAAAAAATATATGAATTAAGATAAAGCCGATGTTCAGTGATCTCACGCTTGGACCACAGGACTGATTTGGAGACAGGGATCAGTGGAGGCTTTGGAGCTCCAGCATGTATCTTTACTATTTCCCAATGTTTTAGAAAAACAACAACAACAACAACAACAAATCACACATGGATCCATTCTTTGACTTTAAGTAAAGTAAAAATTTCAACTAAATTGGAACTAAAGGTTTCCTTATTTTGATCCATAATTATGGTGGGGAATTACAGATGTTATTAGTTCATTAAGAGGTTTTCTTTAAAAACCATAATTAGTTATTAATTTATAAATGTCTTGTTTTGCGGAGCAAATCTTGCAGGACATCAGGTCCCAGAGGACAAAGATAACAAAAGAGAATATGGTAAAGATATAATGTCCCAGTTATACCTGGACTAATTTATTCTTTATCTTTTACACCAATACTTGAATATTTTGATTATTCTAACTTACCAGCTGCCATACACCAAAGTAATTAAGGTGCTCCCTGAAATTCAAGCAGTCAAAATGTTCATTTTTGTAGTTTTGGCTTGGTGAAAATACTGGATAATTTCAAACATAGGAAGAAAGATTGTCTTTTGCACAAGCTTGTCTGTACACCATGAAGTCTCCAGAGCCAGGGAATAACATCAACATACTAAATTCCTGTCAGGAGTCCCTACTGCTCCCGACAGCACCACTGTCCAGGCCTGCTTCCCTTACATGCTAACACTGTTTCTCTCCTGCTATAGGACGCTTGGTGAATTTTAAAAGGAATCAACAAACCCTGAGGGGCTAGGTCCCAGAGAGTGGATGTTTAGACTTCTGCATGGGGCTGTATTTCCCCCATCAAAATGAGGCACTCCTAACTGTATAAACTAAGGTGGTTTTTAATGGAGAAATTTTGAAGACTTTCTAGGAAATTGAGCAGTTGAGGAACAAGTGGAGAACCCCATTAAGAAGAAATTACACTAGCTGAATTTTAAAAGATGAGAAGTTCAAATTGACAAAAGCTCTTTGTAAAATGTAGCTAACAGGACAAAGCCTACTAGGCAGGCTGATTATAGCCTGGTGAGGCAGGATCTATTCTAACACTTCTCTAGGGGCTGGAGTTCTTATGTGTGGCATCTGGCCCCCTGTAGCTGGAAGTTTTCCTGGTCCCACCCAACTCCCGCGGCCCCATGGTCCTGCAGCTGCTCAGACCCAAATAAACACACTTAGGTTTATATTATTTTTAAACTATGGCCATGGCAGGCTTCTTGCTAGCTAGCTCTTATATCTTAAGTTAATCCATTTCTATAAATCTGTATTTTGCCATGTGGCTTGTGGCTTACCAGTATCTTTACATCTTGCTTCTTCTGGTGTTGGCCAGCAGAGTCTCCCTGCTCTGTCTTCTTCCTTCCTCTCTCTCTCCAGTTAGAATGTCCCGCCTAACCTTATTCTGCCTCATAATTGGCCAAGCAGCTTTATTTATCAACCAATCAGAACAATACATATTCACAGCATACAGAACGACATCCCCAACCACCCCCACATATATACACATATATATTACAGTAAAATAATTTTAATATTGTGTTTGAAATTATATATAAAAAATCACTCAGATGTTGAAACATTAAAAATATTCCAATTATTACAAAACCCCAGTCAATGTAATACAGCAAACTAAAACTATAAAGAACTGCTGCTGCCTGCAGGTAACCATGATGGGCATCCCCATACACATTTATGTTCATACAGATATGAAAATGTATACATGTGGGATCGTATTACACACAGGATCTTAATGAAGGCCTTTCTGGTTTTTTCCATCTCCTCTTTCTTCCCATCTAATGTGTTCTCCCTTTGTTGTCTGCTGTTGAACCCTTGTTGTGTCTTTTCCCGGGCTCACTGAATTGTGCACAGTAAGCTGTGCAGTAGTCTAGTACATCAATGTACCACACAATTTTGAGTAATTATTGGGTGATAGGCATTTGTTCCAATTTTTATCCTAGTTTTGGCACGATAATCAGGCTTGTGATAACATTGTGCTTTACATTTTGTGACGAATGTCCCAGCTGTGGGGTTGTTGGGGTCGATGACTATGTTCAGTTAAAATTTTTATATACTTAAGGATCAGTGTGTGTGTGTGTGTGTGTGTGTGTGTGTGTGTGTGTGTGTGTGTATTAAAATTGTGATAGGCCTTCTTATTTATTTATTTTTGACATTGACCTTTAAGAGAATCCTCACATCTTCACTCAGAATCAAAGATGTGATGCCTATCTCAGATCATTTGGGTCACTGTATAATGAGTTTGTAGCCTGGAGTGAAGTTGGTGTTACCAATGTGTATGGGAAGAGAGAACTCTGAAAATAAGCCACTTGGCCTTTATAAAATGGAGAAAAGACTGTAGTCCTAGCGAGAGTGGGAACATGCTAATAAGTGAGAACAACACTTGAAGTTAATAATGATTCTAAAATTGCTGATCTACTTAACTCATTTGAAAAAAATCTGGCTCTCATAAAGCAAATGAAGAAAATGAATTTGGACAATTAGGAAGCAATGAAGAGCTTTCTGAAATAACTATTGATTACAGAAATCAAAAGGAATACTTTGAAGATTTGAACACATGCAAATCAAACTAGATGATGGTAGTGAAGTTTACTCTCTTTGAACTTTTATGGCTTCAGAGAGAACTGGGAGTTACAGGAACTGAGTAATTTCACACACAAAGTCACACCTCATTTCCACATTACTACCCTCTTCCTTTTCTCTGGGTCAGAAGTCAAGCAAAATGATAATGTGCCTAACTAGGCTTCTAAGTGTCCTTATTTTCTATGCATATATTTCTTTATTCGCTCTGTCTGTCAATCAGCCTTCTATCAAGTCTCCCACTTAGTAAATATTTATATAACAGACTGTGCACTAGATATTTCAGAGGAGAAAACAAATGGTTTAGTTTTAGTCTGGTGGGAAATAGAGACCAGAAAGCCTATGACTATTATGCAGCTCACCATTGCCATGATGGAGGATGGTTCTGACCTAAGAGAAAGAGGAGGATGTCATACCAGAAGGGGAGGAGAAGTTTCTCAAAAATGCTTGTAAGTACAAAATACAACCAGTTCTTAAAGAGAAACAGAATAATCATATGAGATTTGGTAGAGATATTAGTATGTTTTCCACAGACATAAGAAGCATAAGCCACAGTTCTCTTGGCTACAGAAAGTGGTGCATTAGAAATGGCCAAATCAGGCCACTAACTTACAGCCAAACCTGGTGTTTTTGGACTTTATATACAGAGAATTAACTGATGGAATTCTTCATAATTCTATTGCCAAATTCAGTTTCTGATCAGTACAGTCCGGTGGTTGAAGATTGGTTGATTTATTGATTGATTTCCCCCCCCATGTATGTATGTTAATGCACATGCATGTGAACATATGGAGGCCAGAAGAGGGCGTCTGGACATCTTCTTTCTCCTTTTATTTCTCTGAGGCAGGATCTCTTCCTGGACCTGGTGCCTCCTTTTTCTCAGCTAGACTTGAACCTAGCAAGTCCCAGCACTCCTGTCTCGACCCCTTTCAGAACTGGGTTTATAGCTTGTATGGGAGGCCTGGATTATTCCTCAGGTCTGAAATCCCAATTCCCACTCTTGAGATTCTGCAGTTAGGACTCTTAACTGCTGGGCCATCTTCCCAGTCCAAGTTGGGGTGTCTTGAACATGCAGCATCACTGGTTGTTTCTCCATTTCCAGTACTTACAGGAGAAGTCACAGATGTTTTTTTTCCCTTCTTTAAATGTGGTGTTTAGACATATTAAACATAAGAAGTTTTTGGAATGATGTCTGGGAAGTTATCAGGCAGTTTGAGGCTGAGGCTGGGCCTCATTGTTGACTAGCTGTGCTGTCTTGGAGAAGGTGTTTACATTTCCAACCTCAGCATTATCATTTTTAAAGAGAAAAATAAAAACTTCAGCTTTCCTGAGTTCCAACAATGTTCCTACAGTATTTTCAGAATTTTATATATACATTAAATTACCAGTGATGTAAAGGTTATGGAATAACTATTCTTACCTCACCTTTATGTATTATGGAGTCATAGAGACTGGTCTAAGAGCAAATAGCAGTGATGTAGGACACATGAGGTCCATACGTACTATATTCTGGCCTCTGAGTTTGTGAGCTTAACCTGGAAGCTGGGATGCCCTTCTGACAGTGTTAAGTGTGGCTGTGTGGTGCGGTGCGTGTCAGGTTGTTATTTGTG